AAAATAGCGTTTCTTAAGAAGGAAAAGTAATCAGGTATTTTTCATTTAGTGTTTTCATTTTGTCTTTTATGAGCAGTGTATGTTGCTTGAGTAATATTACAATGGAAGACATCTGAGTCATACCATATTATAATACTGACATATTTTAAAAGGGCATATATTATGTTCTCTTTTATAAACTGTGAAATATGTGAAACATAGCACTGCGTCTTGACCTTCTCTTCACATGAGTAGATAGATCTTCTTCATTCTCTTTCACCCATTTTTTGTATTATTTATTTATTTTATTTATTTATTTGAGGCAGGGTCTCACTCTGTCACCCAGGCTGGAGTGCAGTGGTGCAGCCTCAGCTCACTGCAACCTTTACCTCCTGGATTCAAGCAATTCTTCCGCCTCCGCATCCCGAGTAGCTGGGATTATAGGCACACGCCACCATGTCCGGCTGATTTTTTTGTATTTTTAGTGGAGACAGGGTTTCGCCATATTGGCCAGGCTGGTCTCAAAGTCCTGACCTCAAGTGATCCTCCCACCTCAGCCTCCCAAAGTGCTGGGATTACAGGCATGAGCCACCGCACCGAGTCCCAAGCACTTTTTTTAATGAAAATGTTCAGACTTTAACAATAGAGTTACTGTAGTTGCTTTATCAAGTATGTATCTCCCTGTATACAACCATCAGTCAACTTAAGTGTGTTTCTAAAGAGGTTGCAAGCATCAGTAACCTTTAGTCCCTAAATACTTCAGCATGCAGTCATTTATTGAATTTGATGTTTATGTTTTTAGGTAAAATTTACATACAGTCCCATGCATAACTCTTAAGTGTACATTTGAGTCAGATTTGACAAATGCCTATACCCCTATTAATGTGTATGATGTCTTTATCATCATACAAAATTACCTCATGTCTATCCCCAGTCAGTCCCACCCTACCTCCTTCCAGAGGCATCTGCTGTCCTGATTAAATTCGCTCAATATAGATTAGTTTTGCCTAATCCAGGACTTTGTATAAATGGGATCATACACTGTGTATTTTTTGTGTAAAGCTTCTTTCATTCAGCATTGTGTTTTTGAAATTCTTTTATGTTTTGGCATGTAACAGTAGTTTGCTTTCCGAAGTGGTTATTCTGTTTTATTCTTCCACCAATAGAGTATGAGAGTACCAGCTGATCCTCATTCTCACCAATGTTTCATGTTCTTTTAACTTTAGTCATCTGGGATGTATGTAGTAGTATTCTTAATGTTTTAGTTCCCATCTCCCTCATGACTTGATGTTCAGCAATTTTTCATCTTTTTTTTGGTAGGAGGCATTCCTATATTTTCCCTTATGAA